AAATTGAAGAATGAGTGGTGCAGCTAAATTAACATTCTTTTCCAAAACCCAACCATAACATAAATAACAAGCAAGTCCCATGATTAAAAGAGGCCAAATAATTTCTAATCTAGCTCTTTCAATTGGAAAATGTCTCAAGTTATCACCTCTCTTACGATCGATATTAAATCCAATATTTCGAGCAATTTTTTGATAATTTCGATCGAGCATCTTACCATTTATGATACTAGCCAAAGCACAACCACTTCCAAATGGAATATAACATAAACCAATTTGTAAATCATTGAAATGATAAATTTCTTTGAAAAGTTGAGGTAGAGAAGCTGTGACATCATAAAATGCTGTATAAAGTAAAGCATTATAAAATAATACCACGGCAACATCTTTTTCCATGACAATATAAACCGTCTTTAAAGGATTTGGCCATCGTAATTGTCGTTTACTTGCAAGTTCAGCTTGAGCAAGTTTTCTACTTTCAGCTGTTGCCGTTCGAGAAAGTTCATTTTCGGATTTTTGATCTTTTCGATATTTCCACCAATCAATAATGGTCATATTCCAACCTTGAGGTGGAATGGATCCATTACCAACAACATTACGACCAGTTTCTGGAACCGTAAGAGTAAATGGAATGAGGAATAAGGCGGCGAGAATAACGAGAAACCAAAAGATAGCTCGCCAACCCAAAAATTGAGCCAAGATACCACCAATAACAGGACCAATAGCAGGACCCATCATTGTACCAGCTCCAACAATTCCCATATATGAACCACGTTCAGCACTTGTTGATACATCTGCAACCACACCAAATCCTAAAGCGATAGCACCACTACTTCCACAACTTTGTAAACAACGTAAGATGAATAAAGCAGCATAACTATTTTGTAAAGCCAAACCAATATTTGCACCCAAATAAATAATGAATGCAATAATATAAGTAGGTCTTCTTCCAGCCATATCTGCTAAATCTCCAAAAACTGTTGGAGCAAGACCTTGAAAGATCATGAAAGATGTAAGGGTTAAATTGATGAGGGTATTTGATACACCGAGATCAGCGGCGAGTGGATTGAGAGCTGGAAAGTAAATATTTGCCGATGTAGGTGAGATGAAAGCTGCCAATGTACACATTCCAACAATATATCTTTTTTTCCATACACCAAAAGCCGAATATGGTGGACCAGATACCACAGGAGATAATTCGAGGTCGTGTGTTTCATCATGATCTTCTGCAATTGATGAAGCGGATGAGGATAAGGATGGGGATTGGGGGGATGTGGAATGATTCGTTTCTCCAGGAATAATAGCACTTTGTAGATTCGTTTCAGGAATGATAGCACTTTGTTGGTTCGTTTGGGGAATGATAGCTTTTGGTATTTGGTTCGTTCCTCCAGGAATAATAGTACTTTGTAGATTCTCTTCTCCAGGAATAGTACTCGCTACCATCTCTTCTGATTTTTCCACATTTTCCATACTTTCTAGTCGATTATCTTCAATCATGATGAAGAAATTGAAACATGTGAAATTGATATTGAAGTAGAGAAATAAGAATAGGAGATATTAAAAGATGATGAAAATCACTTACCATTGAAGAGAAGATTAGAGAGACATACTAGGTAATTAAAGCCGATAAAACATTTTAGTTATTCCCATTTTATCGCCATGAAAGATGGAAATCAATATCAAATCCTAATCATTTTAGTGGTACTTGACGGCACTTTGGATCCGATCCATCCTTGAATAGATTTTCATTCGTCAAGCGACACTCGCAAGATTTGGACCGATATCGCAATTCTTTTGAGGTAATGCATTGATCGCTCGAATCCTACCAAGTGCGGTAATCGCAAAAGTTTAATGCGAATTGGGAAGGAGAGGAGAGGAGAGATGAGATGATGCGGTGATGCGGTGAGATGGTGGATAATGAATGATAGATGGTAAGTGATAAATGGTAGATTCATACTCGAGTAAATTGATGAATTTCGCTTGATGAGATAGAAAGGAGGGAGATGAAAGGAGAGAAAAGATGAAATAAATAAAGGAGATTGCTAGTAGGTAGGTAATAAATAAAGTTACATAGTACATTTGTTACATCCGCAGTACATAGTATCATGTAGACTATTGTCAATCAGGCTGAAAATCGTCGGCTATTCTCATTCGCGGGGCAAAGCTTAAATTCTTACATAATCAATTTTACTCTTATTTCAGCCTTGTCTTCGCATCTGGCCAGACCAATTTTATTGACATGAAGCCACCAGCTACTCAGGTATTCAAAGCTTTCCAAGGTTCAATTCAAGCTCTAATTATACAACAACTTCAAACATCATTCAATATATTGATGCCTTTAACTCTTTCATACATTACCTAATCCTCAATCATGACAGACATCACTCCCGAGTTCAATAAATTGTTAATGGGACTGAATGCCCCTCCTACAGTTGATCCTTCTTTGACTCTTCAAAATATTGATGAATTCTTAAAGGAAGCTTATCGAATAGTATGTTATACCAAATTCTATTCCGCACATTTAATTTACTCATTCCCCTTATTAGAATTCCCATATAGCTTCATTGAATAGCTATCTCAAAGACATTCGACAATCTTACCTTTCAACAACAGCACCTCCAGCAAGACGAACAAATCCATCTTCCAAGACGAAACCACGAAGACATCTTACCGATCGACAAAGAGAAGAAATCGATGCGGAAACTAAAAAGTTATTACGAGAATTAAATTTCAATATCAAGAGTATGGATGAGGCTGAAGGAATACGATATACTACCGAATCCCTCATAATTCAAAGTAAATATGCCAGAGCTCTTGGAAGATTTGGAAATTGGGCAGCCGGAGGAGGAGAACAATCAAAATCTTTGGAACAACAATTGGAAGAAGCAAAATTAAATGCCATCAAGATGCATCGAGAGAATGTTATATGGTATTTACGACAAAAACTTTCGGAATGTGGAAAACTTCAAGCTTCAATGATGGAGATTAGAATTATGAGAGAGGTGGAAAAGAATAAGAGTAATCTTGCCAAATCTCGAGTTATGATGCCAGATCTTGGGAATTTGGGAGATTCATCATCAAAGTTTATATCAAGTGGAGATATTCATCTTGAGGTACAATCACCAACACTACCATCACAATCATCGGATCCTCAATTGAGTTTGGAACAATTACAAATGTTGGCGGAAGAAAATCATGATATGGTAAAACATTATCAAAGTACATTGGATCAAGTCAAGTAAGTATTGTGGTTTGGATGATTTTGGATGATTCTTGACGTTATTCTTGTCCTTCTTGTCCTTCTTATCCTTTTTGTTCTTCTTATTCTTCTTGTTCTTCTTGCCCTTCTTGCCCTTCTTGCCCTTCTTGCCCTTCTTGCCCTTCTTGACCTTCCTGCCTTTCCTGCCCTTCTTGCCCTTCTTGCCCTTCTTGCCCTTCTTGCCCTTCTTGCCCTTCTTGCCCTTCTTGCCCTTCTTGCCCTTCTTGCCCTTCTTGCCCTTCTTGCCCTTCTTGACCTTCCTGCCTTTCCTGCCCTTCTTGCCCTTCTTGCCCTTCTTGCCCTTCCTCACCTTCTTCTTAACCTCATACTAACTATTTCCTAGAACGGCAGAAAAGTCCTTGATTGAAATTTCGGAACTTCAAACTCAACTCTTAAACAGTGTAGCATCACAAGCGGAACAAATTGAAATTCTAGCCGAACAATCTTATCAAACTACGGAAAATGTTGGGGGAGGTAATAAAGAGTTGAAAAGAGCCACGGAACGAAAGAGTACAGCCAAGTATGTATTTTATGCATCATGTGGTCTTAGTGCTTTTTTGATATTATGGGATTTAGTGATATAGTAATGAAGTATTGAGTAATGGAGTAAGAGGGAATGAGTAAGAGGCAATGGAGTAATGGAATAATGAAGCAATAGGATGATGAAACAATGAAGCGATGTAGCATAGTAGTGTAGTATTGAAGCAATGAAGTGTACCATAGCAGTGTAGTATTGAAGCAATGAAGTGTACCATAACACTGTACTAATGAAGCAATGAAGTGGAAATAAAAATGAATAGAAGTGGGATACCAAGTATATTTAATATCTGAAACTTTTCATACCGTCGTAATCCGTAGAACCGTACCAATCATATCTATTTCATTCACATGGAAAACTACCTGAACATTTATCGTGACATGCTTGGCCAGTTACCCGAATTCCAATGAAGGAAATCTATCCATCACGGGGATTTTATTTATGGGTCAAGATATGTATTTGATTTAGTTGAACGTCAATGCCGAAGTTTTGAAGAGAAGTTGAGGTATTCAGAAGAATGTTTTGATTTTCTTTGGATTTGAATATGTAGGTAGTTGTATGGAGAGAGTATTCGTGGATGTATCTGAACGGGCCTTGGTCTTGGAAACCCTTGGATTAGTGTATGGAGTAGTAGTATGTAGGGAGAGAGAGAGAGAGAGAGTAGAGAAGACCATACCTCGGTTCATCAAACATTGATCTCTCCAGCTATACTCGAGTATAAGGGAAAGATTAGGTCTTAATTGGAATATAATAATTATTCTTAACTTCTTCCTCTTCTTCTTCTTCTTCTTCTTTTAAAACATACAAAATATAGTCAATATTTTATTAATCATTACTTACCATTACCATAGCTACAATTTGATACGAATATAACTCAATTATATAAACGTAGTATCAGGTAGTATCAATAGCTCAATAGTCAGTCCACCGGTTTCATAAATCACCCCAGATTCCGCCAAGCGAGACACGGGTCCCGCATGTTTGCGTGGTTTTAGAGGCAACAATCATTACGCCAAGATTACCGGTCGGTATATCATAACATTTAAATCTTCTTCCCCTCCCTTGATTATCAATTTGTCTTCTTCTATCAATCTTCTACATTATCTTCTTCTTCTTCTTCTTCAACTTCCTCTCCTAAAGAAAGACTTTAAATTATCTTCTTCAATCTTCTTCTTCAATCTCCTCCCTAAAGAAAAACTTCAAATCATGTCCCTATCCAATACAAGTTTTCCAGAGGATGCAGTTCCTCAAGCTCCAGAAGATCCCCTCTTTGGATTAATGGCTGCTTATCGTGCTGATACTTTTGATAAAAAGGTTGATTTGGGTATTGGAGCTTATAGAGATAATAATGCTAAACCTTGGGTTTTACCTGTGGTGAAAAAGGTATTTAATTACTTTCATGATTATTTAACATCTACTAACCTCTACTTCTAGGCTGATGAAATCCTTCGAAATGACCCCGCTCTCAATCACGAATACCTTCCTATCGCTGGTCTCAACACTTTTACATCCGCCGCCGCGAAACTTATGCTTGGTGCAGATTCCCCAGCTCTGGCAGAAAAACGTTCTTGTTCCGTTCAAACTATATCCGGAACCGGTGCTGTTCATCTCGGGGCACTCTTCATCAAGAAATTTTACCCAGGTTCTCCTACGGTTTATTTCAGTAATCCAACATGGGCAAATCATAATCAAATCTTCTCCAATGTTCATCTACCCGTCGCTACATATCCATACTTTTCCAAATCCACCAAAGGTCTCGATTTCGATGGAATGAAGAATACCATTCAAAATGCTCCGGATAAGAGTATTATTCTCTTACACGCTTGTGCACATAATCCTACGGGTGTGGATCCAACTCAAGATCAATGGAAAGAACTTGCCGCTCTTTTGAAACAAAAACAACATTTCCCATTCTTCGATTGCGCATACCAAGGTTTTGCTTCGGGAGACTTGGCAAAAGATGCTTGGGCCGTTCGTTATTTTATTGAACAAGGTTTTGAACTTTGTATCGCTCAATCTTTTGCCAAGAATCTTGGTTTATACAGTGAACGTACTGGATGTTTTCATTTCGTTACTGGAGCAGGAAAAGATGCCGAGAAGAATATTGGTCGAATCTCGAGTCAATTGACGATCCTACAACGATCGGAAATTTCCAATCCTCCAGCTTATGGTGCGAGAATTGCCAGTACTATTTTGAATGATGAAACATTATTCAAAGAATGGGAAGCAAATTTGAGAGAAATGTCTGGAAGAATTATTACCATGCGTAAAGAACTTCGATCAAAATTGGAAGAAATGGGTACACCAGGAAAATGGAATCATATCACGGAACAAATTGGCATGTTTTCATTTACAGGATTATCTGAGAAACAAGTCATGGAATTGAGAAGTGAAGCTCATGTTTATATGACAAAGAATGGTAGAATTAGTATGGCTGGTTTGAATACTAATAATATTGATTATTTTGCAAAGGCAGTTGATAAAGTTGTTAGGAAGACACAACAAGAGAGTTCTCATCTTTAGATGATGGGTGATGGGTGATGGGTGTGGGTGTGGGTTGTGGGATTTTGGGATTGTGGGATTGTGAGTGGTTGAGAGGGAATGTGAGTGGTTGTGATTGGGAATGACGAACGAAAGATACAACCGTGGTGGTTGTGATTGGGAATGACGAATGAAAGATACAATCGGTGGTTGTGAATCGAGGAAATGAATTTTTGGTATGATTAGATGGTGCACTGGGATGGAATGAAGAAATGATGAATGGGCGAAAGAAAATGAGATTTTGTCGACAAGGCATTTCATTTAGTAGGATTGAATTGGGTTTGAATTGATTGGGATTGTGGTAAGGAAGATGCGAGTCATTAGATTTCAAATGATTCACATGATTCACATGAGGTTAGAAGCGTAAGCTATTTCATCTGGAGGATTATTATAGGTAGATACTTATATGAGGGAATGAAAGGAAGAAGAATAGATCTCGACTCGATTTTTGATACGGAATTATTGTGTGGATTTTTCTTTTGTTTTATGTGCTACTGTTGGGTGTATTGTGATGTTTTCCATGATATGTCATATCACAGGTGTCATTAAATGCATTCATCTCTGGTAGTTCCTTGAATGTATTCTCTTTTTTATGTGGAGTGGAATTCTAGAATTCTGTGGATATTTTTAATTGAAAATTGAAAATTGAAAAGTTTCTTTCCTGTGAGTGCCTGCCTCTAGTTTTTGGTTTTTGGTTCTGGTTTCTGAGTGCTGGTTTCTGAGTGCTGGTTTCTGAGTGCTGGTTTCTGAGTGCTGGTTTCTGAGTGCTGGTTCCTCTCTCTCTCTCTCCACTGTCATTACTATCAAATATGTATATCGCCTTTATAAAGGTAATAAATCCCAATTCTATCCAATCCAATCCAATCCAATCCCCAATTCACATCATCATCATCATCATCATCATCATCATCATCATCATCATCATCATCATCATCATCATCATCATCATCATCATCATCATCATCATCATCATCATCATCATCATCATCATCATCATCATCATCATCATCAAAAAATCCCCTACATTCCTCCAACCCCTTGCCCCCACCAATTATCCCCCTCCCCCTCCCACCAATCTACCACTTCCCTCCACCCCTCTCCATCCCCCTCCCACCAATCTACCACTTCCCTCCACCCCTCTCCATCCCCCTCCCATGCCCCTCACAAACTTCCACCTCCTCCCCCTCCTTCCCCTCCAAACACCCCGGCGTCCGACACGTATGCGCAGCACAATACACGGTCCCCCCCACCATCTCCTTCAACTTCCAACAGTCTGCCTTGGCACACTCGTGGCGATCGCAAAAACGATTCGTGGGCGTGCGCATGCGTAGACAATTGTCCACGTGGCATTTGTGTCCGCTGCAGTAGGAGGACGGGAGGTATTGTACAAAGGGACATTTGGCGGATTGGCAGGCGTGCGTGCGGCAGGTGCCGGTGGAGTGGTAGCGGGGGGTGGTGCAGGATTTGATGGGGCAGGGGGAGTCTGTGTGGGGGGAGGGGTTAGTTTTTGTTTTGTTTGGGGGATTGGGGAGAGGATGGGATGGGGATGAGGAATTGAGGATGGGGAATTGAGGAACAGGAATTGAAGAACAGGAATTGAGGAAGAGGAATTGAGGAACAGGAATTGGAGGAAAGGAAGGGATTAGGAAATACTTTACATACGTTTTTCACACCACCATGTATCGTAACTGAGGATTGGCTCGGGACATTTTTCATTGTGACATAAATCTATTGATATGGTTATTATGGATTGGTATTGAAGAAGGATTGGTATTGAAGAAAGATTGGTATTGAAGAAAGATAGATGAATAAATAGATAGATAAATCGGAAATATACTTACGTTCATCGCAGAAAATGGTTCCAGGTTCTTTGGGTCCATTACATCGTCTTTCTCCACGAGGTTGCCAATGACAAGGCATGTTGAGTTGAGGTGATTGATTGTTGGTTGTTGGTTGATTTTTTTAGAGGGAGAGAAACGTAGTCGGGGAATTCTTGATTCTTGATTCTTGATTCTTGATCCTCTTAAAGAATGGAATTGATAGGTAGGTAAGTGAGGTGAGGTGATATCCACGAGTGAAGCAAGAAAATATTAGAATGATCAAGTCTTGATTAAAATGAAGAAAGAAATTATTATGGCTTTGGTGCGGGGTAGATTTTAAATTATTGGAGAATTGAGGAGTGAATATGTAGAGAGAATTATGTATTCATTTCATGGAGATGGATGACGAGGTATATAATTGAAATTACCTAGAGATTTTGTTATTAATTTTATCAATAATGATGAATTTCCTTACTTAATTCACACGACCATGATCTTCACAAAGATTTGTTCCTTTAATTCTATGTGATAAACACCCGGATATGGAGCAATTGTGATTTAGACAATATATTCTCCCACCACTTAATTCCTTCAAGTTTGGACAATGTGAGTCACGGGCGCATTTATGAAGGTCGCAATATACGTGATTTGCTTTATACCTTCTCCTCAAGCATCCATTGAAATGGCATTTATGGCCACCACAAAATTTCGAGAGATCGAATCGCGCATTCAGACATGAAGCATCATGACATTTGTGTGCGATACAAGCTGTCGCGCTGCCAACTCTCAAGTAATTACAGCCGTGTGTGATGCATGTGGAATCTAGGGTAAAGGGCTGAAATGACACACTCACGTCCAATACAGTATTTACTGCTATTTAAAATGATAACATGGCACTTGGGTATTTTACATTCATCTATTCCTAATGTTAATAATTAAAACTCATAGAATTCATATCAGCACAAAGGGAAAATCCCATTTGAGGATTCTTGATAGACTTACGTGCTTCACAGTAGAGACTTCCCCGGGTCCGAACCCGATCTTTATAGCATTTATCTATAGCGCATTTCATTTTGCACTTTGAGATTGTTGATAGTTGCACTAGAGTCTTTGCGGAGGCAATCTTGGAATTAAGAAGCGTTCTGAAGATTATACAATCTAATATATATATATTTATATATGACGAGAAAACTTGAGAGAAAATTGATTGAGAGAAGAATAATCGTATGTTTGAATGAAAGAAACTTCAATAGACTCTGATGCGGGGTAAGTCATGATTCGATGTTCCACTATGAAGTGATTCGATATATTTGTATATAAAATAACGTATTCAATTACACCAAGCCTCGCTATGCATATGTAGTAGTCATGAAATATACATATATTCTGAGTAAATGATCCCACAATCGAGGTTACTGTATAAGAAACCTACGTCTGAAGGCAATACAACAGGATTAATGTTGTGAGATGGAGAAATGAGGATGTTAACTGGTTGTAAGGTTGAGTAGTTGTGAGATGGAGAAATGAGGAGGTTAACTGGTTGTAAGGTTGAGTAATTGAGATGGGAGAAATAGTTCGAGGTGATAATCGAGGCTATCTTTTCCAATTACTATTGATGGATTCAGCTCTCACCAAAAGATATGATACTCTCAGAGCAATACTCAGTGATGATGAAGGTAGTTATTGAGTAGTCATGTGCTACTTCTATCATGATCTGATGAACACGTGATCATCCATACTCACACTTCAAGACTTCCAACCCCTAAAGATGTGATGAAACGTTGAGGGTTTCGAAACTCCAATCGAACGAGATATTCAAGATATCATACTCTGTTTCTTTGAAATTGAATTGAATTTGAAATATAGCTTTACAATACAAGCCAGACTTATTTTGATACAAGTATCTTACTTTATCTCTCCTCGCTTGTCTCCTTAATTGACGAAAGTATACAAAGTACCGAGTGGGGTCAGAGTACCCGATTAAATCGTACCTTGATAAATTGTCATACCTGAGTTGACAGGTTCTAGAGTTTCAATCGCATCTCAATCGTATCTCCATATCATAATTTGTAAATATAACTTAGTGATTGAAAAGCAAGGATTTTTAAAGAATAAATCAAAGTATTTGTTAACGAATGAGGTATATAATTTAACTAAAGCTAGAATATATATATACACTCATATCTCCATTCCAATTACCAATAAGAAAATTTGTCGGAATCATTATCACATCATCACATCCATCATCACATCTCATCACCATCATATCCATCATATCCATTATCACATCTCATCAGATCTCATCACCATCATCATCATATCCATCATAAAAAATAACAGCTTGATATTTAGACGGTCTTTTGAATATCAAAGCCATTAAAGATATTAATATCATTTCTGATTTAACATCCAACATAGATAGCTATTTCAAGAATTAGTAAAAATTCAAAAGAATATGTTCACAAAGATTAAAAAAAAACATACCGTTAGCATAAAGAGCGTAACTATCAGCATTCAAAACAGCTCTTGCACTGGTCAAAGCAGTAGCAGCTGCATATCCATAACCATTATCAGCAGTTCCTGGACTGTAAGTAGCAGGTGCGTGAGTCATCTCATGTAAAGTGGTGGTAGCTCTATCTTGTGCGTGGCAAGTGCCTGAGAGTGCTGGAAGAGCAGAGTAATAGATAGGACAGTTGACAATTTCGTTGGTGGATGGGATAGTGTAGGCGAGAACGTTGGATTCACAGTATCCGTATACATCAGTGCAGTAATATTTTGTAGCACCAGAGGTGATGGAACTACATTGGGAAGCAACAGCGTTAAGACGAGCTGCTACGACGGAACGAGTACTGGCTGAGGTTGTCTTGAAGTATTCACTGAATTTGGTGGAGGAACCTGAAGATGCGGCAGTAGAAGCTGCTTTGGCGAGAGAAGCACAGTAGGAAAGTGCTTGAGTGGTTTGAGATCTTTGAGATGTGGAACATCCGGATTGAAGGACAGTTCTACGATCGATAGAGGATGGGATAGCCTTTGCGACGGATTTGGCGGCTTCACCATCGACGGAAACAGAGATGGCATTGGATTTGAAGATGATGGAATCACTAATTTCGGTGGATCCAGCTTTGGCAAATGGAATGGCACCTTCAGCTACAAAAGTGTAGGTTGAGGTAGAAAGATCGTGAACTTCAGCTGCGTTGAATGTAGTCTCAAAGGTTTCACCTGCTGCAAGAGTGTGGAAAACCTCTGGAGCCAAGTCTGTACGTTGAATTGAACGAAGAACTCCTTTGAATGGAACGGCAGTTTCTATTTTATATTAGTTATTGATTTTAAGGATATGAGACATGGAATATTGAGAATTATCCGTATTGTATTTTGAATAATTAAGGATAGTAAAGGATAATTGAAACTCACCGCCTTCAAAAACATTGACCTTTTGAACTGGAGCAGTATCGAAGAGAGTTCCATAACTCAAAAGGTTCAAGTCTTCAGTTCCGACATTCTTGACAGAAGCATGAACTAAAGCATTTTCACCAGCAGCCAAAGTGACTTCAAGGACATTGTTATCCCTAGAAAATTGTTAGTTTGAGATTTATATGATAAAATGAAGATTGAAATTTTCGAGGAATTTGAATGTCTGGTGTAGCATTTTGATATTTTGAATCTTCATCCCAAATGAGGTGAATATCCTCAAATGAAATGCTCCAAAGAGATCAAATTGCACATGGAATCGATTTATGACCATTCAATCCAGAGAACGGAAATCCAGAAATCGAATTGGAAAATAAAATCAAAATAACTTGCCTCTTTACAGCCGCAGAGTTGACAACGGCAGTCAAACTGGCAATTGCCAAAATCTTGGAGAAAGTTCGCATATTGAATTGAATATATGGATGAGAAGAGATGAGAAGATGATAAATGATGCTATCTATTCAGAGGCTTGAATTGCTGAAGATGATGAGATACTTAAAATTGAAGGGAATTGACTCTTCATATATAGATACTTCCAAGACTACCTAGGTAACCGTCGTTCTCTTTCAAACTTTTGAAATCGGAAGACTTCTCCCGTCGCAAAATACGGTACATAGATTTTTGTAGTCATAAATGGAAGGTAGGAGTAACTGATAAGAATAATTCATTCATTGTCTTCAATTGATCGTCATTTCACATAATTTCTCGGCCGAAATTCGAATCTGCCTGCCTCATCGGTGAACTACACTGACATGTTTAATCTCCCCCTGTGATAATGAAGAATATAATTCCACTCATAATCCATGTGATTAACTCCGAATACGATGTCATTACATTGAATGATTGGAAGTATTTTTCAAAGTTATGATTAGTTAGTTCAAGTATCGTGAATCAAGTGGTCGTTGTTGTCAAAATGGATGAACTTTTTAACCGAGATAGGAAGCTATAGAAAGTGATTGATAGATATCAGGCCAAGATATCCTATGTTAGAAGCTTTTGGTGATATGCGGGCGCTTGGAATACTGCAGCCAAGCAGTTTGAAATCGATCAACAAGTTTTCTATCATTATCTTGTAAGATTATGCAGTTTCATTAGAGAACTTTGAAGGTAACACTCGAGTGCCAAGTGAACTTGAGGTATTAGGCATCGGGAGTTGAACTTTTGAATACCTACTTTTGGCAATAGATTTACCATTCACTACCAAATAATTGAAAAGACCAAGGAGACCAAGGAGACCAAGGAGACCAAGGAGACCAAGACAATGTGTATCTTGGCTTCAATGAAGAAATGGGCTTGGCGAATGTCTTTATATATTTGCTGGCTTAATTTCACCTTCTAAAAAGAGACATGATCCTCAATCAAAGTTTTGATGATTGAGCGACGATGTATTAATGAATTTCCATCGCCCGAGAGTATACAAGGATAGGAGAGAGCAAAGATGGGTAAACCAATGGAGAGTACCAATGAAGAGTAAAGTTCTCAGTATTTGAGGTACTCGGAGTTGAGATTTCAACATATTGATAATGTATCCTCGTGATTAAGAAATTTAGTCATTTATCCGGATCTCGAGTTTCCTCATCCGTTCGCGTTCTTGTAAATTATGGTCCCTCACTTGTCACTAAACAAGAAGAAAAATCCACTTCAAATGGATAACAACCAATAAATCATGCCGAAATGCACAACATCTACATTGATCACTCTTGATCTTGATAAGAAAACTGCCGTTCGGATAAAGTTGTGGCGGATGCGGGAACAACCCCACACTTTGATATCCGACCTTCTATATTGAGATAGTCTATCTTTGCTTTTTCCAAACAAAGAGACAATTCTTCATTTGTTTGAGGATCTCATTTCTCATACTTGCGGAAAAAGAGATTTCGCAAAATGTTACATCGTCGTGAACAATATCCGATTTCTCCATCTCATCGTAGATTCCCAATCAATCCAAAGCTTATCATTATACTTGTCGCTCTTATACTTTGCGGCTTATTCATCAAAATGGAATCACCCTCGACAAATCAACACGATGTTCCCATTCAAATATCAATTTCGGATATTAAGACCATCGACAGCGAGCCACAAAATTCACCAATCATCAAGTTGAAAGTTACACTAAGTAACCCATCAGATGAAGCGGTATCCTTTCTCAGATGGTCTACTCCTTTTGACCTCCGAGCGGTTCCTATGGGAATTTTTGAATTCAAATCTTTGGACACGGGAGATTTGGCTCCATGTTTGGGTTTAAAACTCAATCGAAAGATGCCACGAGAAGGTGTATTTTCGGATGATGATATAATTACTATCGCTGCGGGAGCTGAAGAAACAAAGGAGATTGAGATAAAAGCTCCTGAAGTTGTATTGAAGAGTGGAGAGAAGTATGTGGTGAAATCAAAGGGTTATTGGATGCATGTTTTGGTTGGGGATAGGGAAGAAGCAAAGAAGACAGAAGCCAATGTTTTGAGAGAGGATTATGAAAGTGAAGGGGTGGAATTTGAAGTATAAAATTGTGAGAGTTGACAGGTTCTGAGATGATGCAATTATCTTTGAATGTTTCTTGGATGTTCTATTGTTCTCAAATCCACTTGATAGTTGATTCGAGCTCTGAATTTGAGGAGGAAGTAGTTGAAGGGATATTAGAAAGATCAGTCTGAATTGAATTGATCATTGTATTCCTCATTTGAAGGTCTTTTTCTGATTCATTGGAAGTGAGGATATCGAGTAGAACGAAATCTCCATACAACCTAAAGTCGATGGCAGTCGACGGCATACCCAATGAGCCAATTTCTGAATCTACCATACACCAAAAGTCGTATACAGAACGGAACCGGAGATAATGTAATCACATGATCAAATCTACCCAGACCACCTCTAGACATGAGGGGTATTCGAAACGAGTGATGAAATTGTCTGGATATTTATATAAATATCATCATCTTAGGATCATTTTAGGAGACAAAAGGTGATTTATTTTCCATAACATGTACTCCGTACATTCAAACTTTACATACTGATACAACCTCTGGAAATCAAAAACCATGATCAATTCGATCTTCATGACATGGATATAAACTCGAGCGCAGCGAGCTATGGGGGTTTGGGGGCTTGCCCCCATAATCAAACCGATTAATGAATGAAAATGAAGTATCATATGAAATAATTAAAAGAAAAAAAAAAGACATACAACAGTGGGGATTCGCTGGTGGTCACCCACCCAACTACTAATCCACCGATCTGAAGCTTGTGTATGGCAGAGCGGACGGGATGCCCAATTCTCTTCAGTCTATGGTCGTATGTGCTGAAGGAGCAATTTAATCTTATTATGTTGTAATGATATTATAAATTCTCAGCATGCAAGCGATGACGTGAACATTCAAAGGGAGCCCTGTACTAGGTACCTAGTAGGTAGGTAATGTTTGATATTATTCACAGAACTTTCTATGGAAATGAACGATGATACTATATTTTGCCCAAATTTCAAAAAGGAGAAAAGAAAAATAAAAACACACAATCATTATAGAATCATTCTAAAGTTTTCTACGCAGTATAGTCAGCACAGTATCATCAGTATATTAATATATCAATTGAGTTGTGTTGTACAAATCTTATTTTTACATGTCTGATTTCCCCCTTTCTCATGGACTTAACCTTTGAATATCCCATTCTCCATCCTCTTTCTTCTCATATTGAAATCGATCATGTAATCTACTATCTCTCCCTTGCCAAAATTCTACCATTTCCGGTATAATTCTTAACCCTCCCCAAAATTCCGGTACTGGTATCTTTTCCTGACCCTCAAATCTCTTTTCAACCTCCTTAACTCTCTCTTCCAATTCCTCTCTCCCCTTCAATACCTGACTCTGCGGACTAGCCCAAGCACCAATCCTACTACCCCTCGCCCTTAAATCATAATAAATTTGACTTTCCTCATCAGGTAATCTCTCTACCTTTCCCTCAACTCTAACCTGTCTTTCTAATTCTTGCCACCAAAATGTAAGACTTGCCCATTTATTTTCCGCAATATCTTTCGCTTTTTTACTTGTTCCCCAATTGCTATATATAACAAATCCTCCTTTGGCATCTAATTCTTTCAAGTATACCATACGTGCTGATACTCGACCGGAAGGTAAATTGGCAGTTGATAGACAAACGGTTTCTGGATGGTAAACCCCATTTTTTTGTGCGTGGGAAAACCAGGAATGAAATTGTGTGAGAGGATTGGAATCGAGATCTTTACGATCGAGTGCACCTTTTACGAATTGATCTGCTTGGGCATTGGTTTTATCGTTGGCGGGAGCGACTGTGATATGACTCTTGATTAGATATGTGGGTAGGTAGTTATGGAGGGGTTTTGGTAAAACTTACAAATGAGTTTGGAGTTATTTGGTGGAGGATGAAGTGCCATTTTGAGGATTGAAGGACGAAAAAGAAGATTTGAAGTTAACCTCATGTAGTATATGAGAAAATTTGTATATTTTGGATGTGAAAATGGAAGTGGAAGTGGAGAGGGAGAGGATGAGTTGTTTGTAGAAATTAATATTATCGTCGTCTCGTGGTTGACTTCAATGATGGGGACGGGTCATCTTCGGTTTAAAGCGGCTTCTCGAGTCTCGAGCTTTCCATCACCTCCACCTAGATTACCGACCTAGTCACGTGCTAGTATATTCATCTAACAAACAAGCAATTCAATATGCCAGGACTTACGAATACGAAGGGTATTAATATTCATGTAATATTCATCACGGATACAACTTCAAAAATCTCTATTTATTCCCAAGTCATCATTGACGACGTTCTTCTTGTTCTTCGCTATTCAACTCCTTATTCTTTAAATCGAGAGTAATACCTCCGGCGCGGTAACAATATTTCTTCCCCTCATGGTCAAGTCTTTTGCACAGTCTTTTGCAGATCTCCAAGAAAGCAGCTTTATCGGCTATGATTTCCTTTCAATACCTAGGTACCTAAGAGGCAATCACTTCAAAGCGTCATCGACCATAAATTCGGCTGATGTTATGGCATTTATTAAATAAATGGGATTTGATAAAACCAGATTTGAATTCCCTGTGCTGATCATCTACAAGGGGTAATTTCATCTCATGCTAAATTTATAACATCGGACAAAATTCGAAGTTCGGAATTTGCCACATCAATCTCGAGATCAATCTACTCGAGTACTTTCAATGAGATTTATACTTGCTCGAGACTGGCTCACTGGCTCTGGACTGGATTGTATTGAGAACTCATAAGAATTCATACATAGAAATTTTGATCCGAGTACCTATCAATAGAGAGAAATATCAGATCCGAAAACGAGAATCGATATGTTACCAATTAGGGCGATATGATACGAAATGTCTAGTAGTATCTCGATGAGGGATCTAGCTTTATGATTTATCTCGATGAGGGATCTAGCTTTATGATTTATTTTGATAGATGAAGGTATTTTTGATAGATGAAGGTATTTTTGATAGATGAAGGTGTGTTGATGGATGAAGGTGCTTTGATAGATGAAGGTGCTTCGATAGATGAAGGTGCTTTGATAGATAAAGGAAACTAATTCGACACTATCTACCACATTGCCGTTAGGTCCAAAATAGAATGAAGATTCTGGGGTTAACTATTAATCTAGACAGTGAAATATTATAACCCACGGGCATAAAGGAAGCACTTGAGTCTTAAATACACTCTCATAGAATCACTAAAAGTTTATCAGAGCTCGAGTAGCTAAACTCGAGATGAAATAATACGAGTAGCTATGACGTTAATATCAAATCGAGAATTCTAACTTTCTTAGCTTTCTTCACCAAATGGAGTATGATAGCTTTCCCAATATTCACACAACTTGAGGCGAATCTCTCACATCTATGTCCCTCCATTTTTTGATATGGAAATATTGATCGACTGAATCTCTTTGCTAATATTTTATATAGACGGAACATTTACTCCTCGAAAGGCTTTATTGACCGTTCCTGGTTCCTGGTGCAACCAGTCAATTGCCCCTTTGACTGTTAAGAGCGGAGTAAATCTCCTTCATCAATCAATCATCAATCAATCAATCGATCAGTCAATCGAATCATTCTTACACAATCTTTAATCCCGATACATTCCACATTTCAAGGTCTTTTCCCATAACCAAGATTTAAATACCGATATCAATAGCTTCCCACCGGTTGCGTACTATCGCATATACCAAACCGCTTTCTCCAGCTTTTCTCCATTAATATGTTGACGTAAAGGATGACATTGAGGATTTGATATTATTTCCACGATTTATGAAAACAAATTTTCTTGGAACCAATCAATAATTATAATTTTGATACGCTAAGGGTATATTTAATATTTTTCATTACTTCATAGTTCCACAAGAGCTTTCTATGACAAGCGTCATGAAGCTCCTTAGCTTTCCCGTGGCAATCGAATTTCTATATCAATCACTTATCTTCAATCAATTTTTCTTTAATTCAATCAACAATTTCTTGCCATTTACTTGTTCATTCACATTGAACTTTTAAAAATGTTTTATCAGGCAAGCATCACCGCTAGCTTCATTGTAGCGGTCGCGGCTATTCCAGCTTCTATCAGTCAAATCAATGATGGTCAAATCCAAGCTGCCACAGGTTCTCCAGCAACTTCTGGTTCTGCCTCACCATCAGCTTCCGGTTCTGCCTCACCATTCGGTATCTATTCCTACAATCAACAACCATCTGTAAACAGCGAAGCGGTTTCATCAGTCGCTTCAATTGCAGGAATTCCAGCATCAGAAATTCCAGGTGCTACTGCTCCAGTCCCACCAGTCATCAGTCCTGAAGTTACAGGTGTTACAAGTCATGGTCCATTCAGTGGTACACCTACCACCACTGGAGCTTTAAGTACCATCGCATTAGCCAGTGAGGTACCAATCTTGCCAGCTAGAAAAGCAGAAACGACATATGTACCTGATGGTACACTTCACGAACCACAACCAGTTCCATACCAACCAGCTGGTGGTCTTGGAACTAATGGCACTGAGCCAGTTTATCGTGTTCAATCTGATTTTGATTATCAATCAATTCTTTTGGGTCTCTACCAAGAGTGGATTGAACTCGATCTCTTTCATAATATTCTGGCTACATTTTCCGAAGAAGAATTTACGGCTGCTGGTCTCACACCTAGCGATAGATTCCTCATTGAATTTATGGCAGATCAAGAAGCAGGTCATGCTACTCTGCTTTCTAATTTACTTGGAGGACCAGGTGGAGCAACACCCCAATGCACATATAATTATCCTTTCACTACCGTTACTGAAGCATTTGACTTTACTCAAAAGCTTACTAGATATGGAGAATCTGGAGTATGGGGTTTCCAAGCTCATCTCGATTCACGTGAAGTTGCACAACTTCTCGATCAATCAATTGCAACTGAAGCTCGTCAACAAATGATCTTTCGTCAATTTGCTGGTCTCTTCCCTATGCCAGTTTGGTTCGAAACTGGTATTCCACAATCATGGGCGTGGACTCTTCTCGCACCATATATTTCTTCATGTCCAGCCAATTCCAAGCGTCTTGTTTGGCAAAACTTCCCACAACTTACCATTCTTAACCAACCAAACATTGCTCGTCGTAATGCTACACAAACTGGTTTCAACGAGACTGCTGGATTTGGTCCTGCGGCACCAAGTGATTCAAAGTTAGCACCAATCGATTCATGTGTTGGTAATAACGTCACTGGATTTGATTGTTCAGCATCCATTTCCCAAAATCGATCTATTCCTCTCTCATACCCAGGACGTGAAGTTTACCTTCAATGGGATAATCCTGGTCAAGCTATTGGACCAAATAATTCCTATGTCACATCGACTAGTGCAGGTACACCATCATGGGCAATGTGGGTTTCCCAATTGAATGTTACCTATTCACCACTCATGAATGTTTCATCAGCAAATGGTGTTAATTATGCTATGACTATTCAACCGGATGTTTCAACATATGAGGGTGATCCAGCTATTAATGGTACTATGTTTTTGGCTTTGACGGATACAAATCAAACTTATACTGCTTTTAATTTGTCAAATGTTAATCCACATGTGGCTGCTTTGGCCATGTATCAAGCTGGTTAAATGGATACTTAGGTAACCTTGGAAGTTATTGGATTTGGAAAAGATTTGATGATATTTTTGTATGATAGTTATTGCGATTAGTGGAATGGGGTTAATGAATGATGTGGTATGATATGGCGATTATGTAATTCTTTTGTACATTAATATACCGATAATGAATAAGTACTGTTGTCTTGAAGATTCTTCATGTTTTCGATGCTTTGTATGTAAATCTTGGAAGTGAATGATTGTATAGTTCTTCAAGAGTATGAGGGCTAGGTACTGATTGATGATAATCTTCTGGGTGGGGTAATGTGTGGGGTAATGTGTGTGGTGAATGTGCGGGGAAATTAGAGTATGATTTTCCGTATTATTACCTAGGTACTCGCGTACTCTATCCCAAATCAAAAATCTCAAGGTTCGTAATATATAAGAGCTACCACTCTTCTCATAACCTGAAGCATACCTACGGAATGAAAATAAAGGAAATAGTGTATGAAGAAGAGAACAGTAAGGTAACTAAATGGATTATCATTTTAGTATTATATCATCGTAATAATTTATTTTCATTTCTCATCATAATTCTAAGTATGATATTTACATCATATTTTTATCATCTGAATTATCTATACCTTTTACTGTCAGTAGTGAGAATTATCGGATTAGATATCTATTTTTTATCATCGAGTTAGATTTTATTTTTCTTATCAATTGTTAATACTTTTTCGACCTCTTTGATATTTATTAGACGAAACTAACATCTTGTAGGGAAAAAACCTTCTTGTAATTTTCGAGAATATCTATTACATCTTAACATTTGATTTGATTTGATTTTGATTTTGATTTTGATTTTGATTTTGATTTTGATTTTGATTTTGATTTTGATTTTGATTTTGATTTTGATTTTGATTTTGATTTTGATTTTGATTTTGATTTTGATTTTGATTTTGATTTTGATTTTGATTTTGATTTTGATTTTGATTTTGATTTTGATTTTGATTTTGATCTTAAATTCTTCTAAATTCTTTTAAATTATATTTTCTATTATTCCCGGGTTTTCAAATGATAACCCCCATCATAAAAGAATTCTATTACCCCTTTTCAACTTCGCTAATTCTTCGACATGAATTATTATTTATTATCAATTCTTAAGCTCGTGATTTTGATACCCTCTCCAATCTATCTATAATCTATAAAGAATTAATACTTACATATTAAAGAGTATAATATAAATATTACAAAATCAATTTCCACAATCGCCAGACTCATTACTTACAGACTCATTATATCACAAGAAGATTTATATATTTCATTAACTCCGAGAGGCACATGAATTTTTGTATTCAAGATTGGCGCAGTTTGAAATTTAATTCAATACACTAGTTATACACAAAAACACCTCCGCGGTATTCTACTCTAATACACATTTTACTATTCTACTTGAGAATCAAAGCAGTATTCTAATAATGAAATAAAACAACCCGACCTTATTTACTATTCTGATACTCCATCTTTTTTACAACCAATAAAACAATCAACTATGCGTAAAGAAGTCGATTTTGTGGTTTATTCCAATCGAGACCTCTTGCGTTTTGGCTCAGTATTGAGTTCAGATATAGTCGTGAAATTTAGACTATTATTTACTTGAGGAATGGCTATAGAATTCAGCTCATCGTTGACTTCAGACATAGTCATAGTATCCAGCCCATTGTAAACTCGAGGAATGGCCATAGTATCCAACCCACTGTAAACTTGAGGTATGACCATAGTATCTTGGTCAATGACTCCAGGTATGACCATAGTATTCAGCCCACTATCGACTTCGGGCATAGCCATAATATTCAACCCACTATTAACTTGAGGAATAGCCATAGTATTCTGGTCATCATTGACCCTAGGTATGACCATAATATCCTGGTCATTGACTCCAGGTATAGCCATAACATTCAACCCACTATTACCTTCAGATAAAGCCAAAGCATTCATCTCAGCTTCATTCAAGTCAAACTCAATATCCAAATCCATCCAATCTACCGGTACTTCATTAATCTGTGAATCAATCTTGTAAATAAAACATAAATTTCCACCTCCCCATGGTCCTTGTCCATCTCCACCACCGGATACGTATATATTTGTATTTCCACACAATGCGGCAAGTTGACCTCCTACAGCTGCTCTAACATGCTGATCTCCTGACATATTAGGATCATTATTCATTGAATGAAAAGCAGAATTGATTTGTTCATTGGAAAATTGAACACCACCGGCTCCCCTTTTATTTGGATTGACTGTTGCGAAAACTTGTATTAAATTTCCTCCATCATCTTTAATCTTTTTCAAAGCTTCTTGAATTGGATTGACATCAATTGGATGAGTCATGACGGTAGATATTGCTCGGAGATTACCAGTTGTCCTACTATTTGTAGCTATCATTAGTAAACCACAATCTTCCCTCTCAATTGAAGGAACACAATAAGCTTTTTCGCTCCAAGTTCTCCAGTATCCCATATTAATTTCTGCCCTTATTTTGGGAAGATCTCCTTGAAGTCCATGAGATGGAACCTCATGCAGACCATGACACACTCCGAAAGCACAAGCATAACGAGATCTTCTAGATTCTTCCGAATTGCATCCTCGAGGACATTTTATAAAAACCATATTACATTGTACGTCATTTTCCGAATCCTCCAAACACCCAGTGAAATCATTCAATTTATTTGCCATCGTTGAAACGTACGAACTCACAATGAGTGCATGATCCGATGTACCTAATTCTCCTAGAAGAAAATCCTGAGTTCTTCCAATAACTGCACAAAGACCAGTAGGTTCTTTGGATTTCAAAACTAAAGTAACATGAGTACCCAAGACACCTTCTGTACCTTCAGAAAAAATCTTGAGTGTAGATGGTGTTGTACACATCTCCCAAATTTTAGCATAATGGTGGCAAGTATCACTATCAAATTTGCCCATTCCCTGTACCTTTCCAATGACAGCAAGTATATCAGAAGCATCATATCCAAGAGCGGGCAAATTATAGACAGTACATGGAGAAGTACTTGGGAATGTTTTGACATCAATATGATAAACTTCAGGATTGGATCCATTTGATACTTGGTAATCTGGACCAGCTATGGGGTATCCATGTAACCGGGTACCAAATGATCTAGGTTCAAGTAATCGTGGTTCGAGTGATGAGGATGTAGTTAATGAAGATTCGGCAAATGGAAATCTATCTGATGTAGGTATTTTTGATGAGGGTTCAACTGATGGAAGTTCGATTGATGAAAGTTCGATTGATGAAAGTTCGATTGATGAAAGGTCAATTGATGGAAGTTCAATTGATGGAAGGTCGACAGATGAAAGGTCAACTGATGAATGGTCAATTGATGGAAGTGGAAGCTCAATTGGTAGTGATCCAACGGATAAAGGTCCAACTGATGGAAGTTCGATCGATGAAAGTTCGATAGATGAAAGGTCAATTGATGGAATTTCAATTGATGGAAGTGGAAGCTCAACTGGTAATGAACCAACTGACAATGGTCCAGCCGATAAAGAAGTAGCTGTCGAAGTTCCAATTGATAGAGGGGGTACTGATGAAGAACCGGGTAATGAAACATCAGTCAATTGAAGAGTAACAAATCGACGTCTAGAAAATGCAGAACGAGTAGAAAGAGAAGGAATTGATAAAGATCTCAATAGGTCCGACATCTTTGATCTATAATTGTTTTTATCTTATGAATATAGTCATTGGATGAAGTGTTTGATTGCGGACACGAATGAGAAGAGTGAGATAAGTGAAAGTGTAAATAAAGACCTTGACGGCGATTCGGTTGTAGGCAAGAACGATCAATACAAAATTATCACAACCCATTATCTTTTATCTATTGAATACCATCTCTCAACTACAATAAAACATAATAAAATTCATTTCTAAATGCGTAAAGGTATCGAACTTTCAGTACAATCCGAATTGATAGGTAGAATCTATCGTTAAAAAAATTGATCTCCTCAATCGTAGCCTGGAAGTATGTCCATCCCTTCGCTTTCTTGTTCACTTACCCAATTCCGACGGGCCTATTTCTTGTCGAATAATCACAATATCCTACGATGGAAGACTGACACTTGAAATTCTACTTCAATAAAAATACAGACAAGACAATACGCACTCATATATTTGAAGCTTGGTTGATAACCCTAATTAGCTTCACTTATATATTCTGAGTAGGGCCTTTATATTGAAAAGTCTATAAGGATACGAAGTATTAGACCGATTGATATATTCAATGCCGAAACTACGGTGTATGATTGAAGAAAATGATTGCATTTATATTTATACTTATTCGAACCCCTTTTCAATGGTTCTTACGGTATATCAGAAGTCAGTTATCCCATTCTACATTGATATATTATCCAAATATCCTATTAAGTTTATAGAAAGTATACAACAATGTGAACGAGTCTTAATAGTTATATTTTATCTTAGTAGTAAAGAACCTATAGATTTACTAGTATGGAGGATGTCAATAAAGAAAGGCAACGGAGAAGATGATAATAATAATGATGATGATGACGACGATAATGATGATAATGGTAATGGTAATGATTTCGGCGTAGACTTTGCTGAAAAAATTACATTGTAATAAAAACCAATATTCCAACGGATATTCTATACCAGTTAAGATTCTTCATTATTTTTCCTTTACTATTCGTAATATGACTTTAAAATTGAAAAACTCAAACAACTATACGTACTAAAAAATACAAGAACTCCAAGAAGTCATACAAAATTCTAAAACTCACCGCCAACTCCAAGGGTCCAAGAAACCAAACTCTTGGTGTTTTCTAGAACGATTTAATGATCTTAGCATGGAATTTGAACGGCAACTAAGGATTGATAGTCAGGGCAATGGTGTGACTTTGTTGGCTTGGCTCTCATAGGAGAAGAATAACGACGGGTTAATCACCGAGATCACTTTGATATCAGTAATTGTACGAGTAATTGAATTCTACAAAAATTCAATCACAAATAAAGTAAATATATTTCATGATGTACTGGTGATAGCAATAAGATCCCACAATGTCTATTTCTATCATCTTTCGAAATATTATCTTGTCTGAATTTAAAGGAAATAATTCAATCATTAATATTTTCGCTAATTATCAACTACGGCCTATTTCTCTCGTACATACTTTGTAGACGTCGTAGAGCTTGGGACCATATTTCAAACAAAGTATACGGGATAACCGAATGATACTCCTTCGATGTTAAGACCTCCCTTTGACTAGCTACCTAGGTATAAAATTCATCTGAATATTTCAAAACACATCCCGAATAGATTTCACACGAAAGAGGCAAAAAAGAAAAAGTTTTCACAAAAACATGACTCGAGTTCCGAAGATCTCACGTGATGTAAATCAATCATCGGTGGGGTGATTCCGAGAATTTCCTCATTCATCAACTTTGAAGCAAAACCCCGAAATGTATATCGTCATTGTCGTCCACTACGGAACTACCACCCACCGGCATAACGGCACCATCGACATCAAAAGTATCAAAAAGGGGGGGCCCCGAGAATCCAGATTATACGGAGTACAGTGTACACCCCAAACTGCATACTCCATTTCTCGTGTCCCATGGGTAAAAGTAACCAAAGTTGGGAGAAAATGAGGAGGTCCCATGGGCGACGATGTGGTACATTTGTCGTCGTGGTACCACAAAAAAGAAGAAAAGAATTCCATCGAACAACACATTTCGGCCAAATTTCATACATTCCTTGATGATTATTACGTATGTATCCGTATACTATCTGGAGATTTCATACTGGTAACATGTTTATGCGTTACATGATTGATCTTTAGAGATGAGAGTATGGCCGAGAGAATATCCACGAGGTGGAGTTTTGAATGGGTTGTCGTTGAAATAAAACCGAAATATGACCTTTTTGATGTGGGTTTCACCAAACAATTCAAAAAATCAAAGTTCGCCTTATTTTCTGAATGATATCTGTACTATTCTGGGAAATAGATGAGCGATTCAATCGGTTAGTCCTCGGGAGGTAACCTTACTGATAAGAGAAAAGAATTGTATGGCTAATTGGAAAAAACTCAATAACCGGATTCTTCTTCGAAACTCTTCTTCAAAACTACTCTATCCTTTTCATCCGCTCGGCTCTAGAAACCAAAACAATATCAAGAAACACGCGATATACGCATGACACGCAGCCCTCTCAAAGGATGTAGTCTTGGATGACGGGCGCCAATTCAAGATCCTTATGCCATGCAAATCTAATCTTTTTTTTTCACTCGCTTGTCGGATCATAGATGCTTGGCTTTACCATTCTTGACTGCCGCTTCGTTCCCGCCGCAAACTCGTGGAACCTTGTTTTTCTTCTTCAATTTTCATAGGCTTTACTGGTTTTTATGGGTCCAGGAATTAAGCCGTTCCAGAGTGAAGTGAGGATCATGGTATCCGAAAGGACAAGCCTTGAGCCTCAATATCCACTTAATCGACACATCTAGTCCAAAAAGGGACAAGTGAAAACGGCAAATCATCATAATGCTCCGACCTCATATCTGTGTGTTGATATCTCAGACGGCATCTCAAAAGTCATGATATGTGAGGAAATTCTTCATTATGCTTCAACAACAATACGAATCGGATAATCTAGGATCAAAGTGCCACGTAGAAATGAACATGAATCAAACATACGTCAATCAGATTTCACAATTTCACAAAATATCCCACGAGAAGGGATTAAACGCTCCTTTCTTTAGTACTCGGTGCTATCGCGGTCGTCACTTTAAGATGGACCCGATTTTCTTCATATTTGTTCGGATTTGATATTCAAACTATTTGGCTCTCGGCCATTTTGTCCATCATACCAATCACGGTCAGTAATCGTCTATTTTCCTAAATTCCAAAAAAAAACCCCAATGCTGTACAAGCAATACCCTACTCTGTGTACAGCAATACCTTACTCTGTCGTGACTAGTAGTCGTGACCACTGACAATGTTCTGACTAGCGGGACGGGGAGCTATGGCTAATCTTGAACACTTTGACTAGGTCCTCTATTTTCTTCACTCCACCTAATACCGAACATTCTTTTGGTAACATTCTCCATCTTAAAGAAAAATCTTGTAATGTCTTGAGACCTCTTTGACTAGCTTCCCCAATTTGGGGGCTAGAGTCATTTTTCCAATCTCTATCTGGTCCGCATGACAAAATGATGGGAATGTGGGCTAAATCATGGAGGCATCACCTCGGGGCCCCCTAATAAGATATTTTGACGGAGTCGTACTCCACTCACATCTGTTGCCATTTCCGATTGTTTGTTTTTATATAAATCCATCTTCATCCCCATATCCCCCTCTCTCCATTCTCCGCGTCTTTAACTCTTCAACTTCTCATTCTATCTGGGGCTATACGATTGTGCCTTTGAGAAAAAGTTGTTGATCAATACTTTTAACTTCCCTCTACAAAAAGAAGTTGAAAGAATCGCAATCATGGGGTTGTTCAATAAGAAGAAGGAGACTACAGAGTCAGCGGTTATCTCTGACAAAAACCTCAGCAGTGCAGAGGGAACACCAGCCGCCCACACACCAGCCGATACTCCTCGTGTCGCTAGATCCTTGAATGGTTCTGCACCAGAACATCATGATATCTCACCTGAAGAAGCACTCGATGACCTTCCAGCTACTAAATTGGCCATTACTCTTGGTGCTATCGCATCCATCGGTGGTTTCATGTTTGGTTATGAATCTGGTCAAATTTCAGGTTTGTCTTCACTCCAATATAGTATCGAAGTGATAAAATTCTAACAAAGTCTCAAGGTTTCGTACAAATGTCCGATTTCTTAGCTCGATTCGGTGAAAATGGTGAACTTTCTGCTGTCCGTCAAGGAACCATTGTCGCTATTCTCTGTGCCGGTACTCTCGTTGGATGTCTTGGATCTTCTTACCTCTGCGATAAAATCGGTCGTCGTTACACCATCTCCAGTTCCGCATTCTTTTATATTATTGGTGTTATTATCGAAATTACTTCTACTACTCACTGGGTTCAATTCGCTATGGGAAGATTCACTGCTGGTTTGGGTATTGGTGCTTTGAGTACTAGTGTTCCCATGTACCAATCTGAGTCTGTGCCTAAGAATATTCGTGGTGCCGTCGTTTCCAGTTATCAATTGTTGATTACTCTCGGTATCTGGACTGCTTATATGGTAAGTCAAATCTCTTTAAAAAGAAATCAAATCTCTTTAAAAAGAAATCAAATCTCTTTAAAAAGAAATCAAATCCCTTCAAAAAGAAATGACAACCTACTAACATAAAATAGATCAATTACGGAACTCACTCTACCTATACCAACAGTGCTCAATGGCGTATTCCTAATGGTCTTTCCGCACTCTGGGCTATTACCCTCGGTACCGCTGTCCTCTTCATGCCTGAATCCCCTCGTTTCGCATACCGTATTGGACGTGAAGATGAAGCTCGTAAAAACATGGCTCTCCTTAATGGTGTCGACCCTTACTCCCCACTTATCGATGCCGAAATTCTCGAAATCGAAACTAAGCTCGCAGCCGAGAGAGAAGGTGGTGATCACCCATGGTACGAAATTTTCACTGGACCAAGAATGTTGTACCGTACACTTCTCGGAATGGTTCTTCAAGCTGGTCAACAATTGACTGGTGCCAACTTCTTCTTTTACTATGGT